AAAATGACACATTCCTGCTTTGTTTTATTCCTCTACCCCACACTAGATTAGCTATCCTCTTATGAATTAAGTCAGGAGACCAAGCATGCATGTTTCTGCCCATTTGCAATCAATATTTTCTGGATAACTGTGCTGGGGATAGTAAAAATTTTTTATATTCCGATCTAACTTTTTCAAAATGGCATTGTTTAGGAACTTCATTCTAATTCTGAAGAAAAAACTAAATATATGAATATTTCAAGTATCTGAGGCTGTAAATACTTCAAACTTACTTATTGCATGAAACCTATTAATATCCATGTAAGTAGGTCTGTGACTAAATAGGATGTGATAATAAAGCTAAGTGCTGTGCTATTTGTCAGGCAGTGGTTCGATGGTATATGTAAAACTTTCACTCTCCATAAACAAAAAAAATACATAAGTATAGACCTCAGGGATGCTGAGGATCCAACTCTTCTATGGCATTGCAGCACTAAAGAAATGCTCCTCTATCCAACAAGGATTTATTTGAGCAGTAACAACACGCAAAGCACTGTTGAGAGGTCAGAATGGAGCAAATGTTGTGACCAGCTGTATATTGCAAACATAGATGTACTACAGAGCAACTCTTAGTCATTACGCTTGCTTATAGTAGTTTTGGTACAAGCAGATAATTTGTTCTCAATAGAAGCAGGAAACAATTTGAGAATAAAAGAAAAAAAATTCCAGATGCAATGGTTTTGTATAGCATCTGGTCTGCCATGTTTCGTAAATACTGGAGAAGCTTTGACCAGTTTGACCTAGATATGGAATGTAACTTTGCTTACAAAAACTGCTATTAAGCTCCTGCTTAAGGTGTTCTAATTTTCTGTGACCAAACTAAAAGCAAAAGATAAATGTGAATAAAATGTAAAAAAAAAAAAAAAGTAGAAAACAGATTTTGTCTACATAATACAACTGTTTGTTTGAACTTAAAACTTGAGCATTTCTGCCAATGCATTTGCAGCCTGTTTCTACCACTCCAATTAAATGAATGAGCTTCAGGAATTGAATTGTATAGCAGATAATCTCTTTTGTGCACACAGGTAAAAATATAGATCAGCAGATGCATTATTCTAATGTATTCAGTACAGGAGCTAATAATATTTGATAAAGCAAATTCTTAGAATTCAAGACATCCCACTTATCCTTTAATCTAATATCTTATAATAAGAAATTATTAGTAAGGATATCTTCAATCATATGAAATTCAAATAAAAAATACTTAGGTATCTGTCATCAAATCTCTTTGTTAACATCAAAAGGAGATAGAGTACACCAAAACAAATGTTCCCAAAGAGATGAATTTAGCAAATAAAAACAGAAAAATCAAAATGAGCTACTAGAACTCTTGGCTTCTAAAAGAAAAAGGAAAGAAGGAAAGAAAGAGGAAGAAGAAAAGAAAGAAAGAAAGAAAGAAAGAAAGAAAGAAAGAAAGAAAGAAAGAAAGAAAGAAAGAAAGAAAACACCAAAGGGATTAAAGAAAGAAAAGAGGAAAGGAAGGAAGGAAGGAAGGATAGAAGAAAGGGAGGGAGAAAAGGAGAAAGGGAGGGAGAAAGAAAGAAAAAAGATTTGTTTCACTATCAATCATGGAGTAATGGGCCAAAGAGCCTCAAAAGGCATGAGGGCTAAACATCAATGTAGCCACTACTTTTGCAGTACTGCTGATATTTGAGAGGCACCTACTGCCAAGAGAATGGCATAGCCATTAATCCACTTCAACGAGCTAACACCCAGCAGTCCTGCTAACCACATCCCTCTTCCCCCAAGCCTTATGAAATGTATCACCAAATCTTGTTGATATTACCTCCTACATAGTCTTTAAATTAATCCATTTCTTTCTCTTCCCCCACCTACACCTTAGAACAAGCAGTCATCTCCTCTTTCCATCACAGCCCACAAACAGGTCCCTGTTTTGCACCCTTCCCTCCCTTTAATATCTTTCCTGCCTGGAGAGCAGAGGTATCTTTTCAACATGCAAAATTATAACCTGACTTTCTTGCTTAAAAGTTTTTTAATAGGTTCTGTCATTCTTAGAATAAAGACCACATTCTCAACATAGCCAACGAGGATGGGACCCCCTTCATACTTCTCCAACGTCTTCTACTTTATTTTCTGTGGCTCCAGCTGCAGTCCTCTTTGACTTGCCAAAGTCCCCATCCTACCATGTGAGATTTCTTCATGTTGTTAGTTTTGCCTGCTATGTTTTTTTTTTTCCAACTCCCATTTGTTTATTAATTGCCAGTCATCTTTCTAGATCTCAATGCAGACATCACTTCCTCAGGGAAGCCTCTATAGTGCTCTCTCTTATCCCTACCCCATTCTAGCTGGGATGTTCTCAGCATTATGTACTCCATAGCATTTCACAGTTTAGAACTGCATACTTATTGCATGGTAATTAGGTGATTATTATAAATCTTTGTCACTAGACTGTAAGCTCATGTATGGTTTTTCTCATCATTTTAACCACAATATCTAGCAGAGTTTCAGACACATAGTGAGCAAGCATTATTTCTTGAATGAAGAATGAGTATGCGAAAGGAGTCATTAACAACTAGTTAAACCAACAATAATCTGCTTATTTCCATTTACCAGAATCATTTTGATCAGTTTGAATGATGAAATTACATTATTTCAAACCTCATAATGAACAAATTGAATGATTTTATCTAAACTCTCTAACATTTTTGGCATTTCATAGATATGGCCAGAATGAAAAGATTATTAGCATCCTCCTTGAGTTATAATAGAAACTCAGAACATTGTTGCTAAATTAGGCTTTAACAATTTTCTCATATAGTTTCTCATTATGTGAGAAAGAGTCTTAGGAGATACTCAAAAGGTCAACCAGCCTGTTGGTAACAGAGCAGGGATGAAAATCAGCCATTTAAACTTTCAGTTTTATGTGTTTTTTTTTTTTCTATAACTATGCTGCAATTTCTGGGTTTTATGGCTTCATTTTCATATTAAAAATTTGGAAGAACTTGTAAGTACCCATAAGAGAAATATCTCCAAATGGTTAATTTTATCATATCATTTAGATTTCTGCTTTAAAGTACTAAAATAAGTAGCAATATTTTTAGAAAAGTTAAAAAAATCCAATTTTATAAGAAATGAAGCACTTTCATGCCTTATTAGCAATATGCATAGTATTCCTTAAATAAGAATGAGAAGGGGATGGTACATGTTTCCCCGGTTTCTTAATATTCTGAAGCACAGAATTTTTCCAGTTAAATCTGGTTTTCTATAATTCAATTTATAAAAACCCAAAAGGAAGTTAGGTTTTGAGGAAGTGGTTGGGGAAGTGACATAGCATATGGAAAAATAGTCAGTTACAACTGGGCATGTAACCTTGGACTGTTCACATCCCCCTGTAGATTCTACTTTCCTTATCTGTACAATCAGAAGATTGGTCTAAATGATGGGTTTTGTCTGTTAATGGGCTTCCAAGATCCCCCCCAAGCCCTTTATCATGTGTATTTCTGAGAAGAAAGTCCATAGCTTCTACGTGATTGGCAGAAGGGCTTGGGACATTAAACAGGTTAATTGCTGTATTAATAGCTGAAGTCCGTCCTACCTTTTGAAATGTAATAAAGCTATAATCATAAATTCAGACAGAAAATATAAATTTGTATAATTGTTAGCATAAGAAATAAAATTATTTGAAGAGGACAACCTACACAAAGGAATACTACTATTATTAACCCTACACTTAAGTGTTAGCTGAAGAGCCACACTAGAAGCCCAGCCCAGATTTTCTGTAAGTAGCATCAATTGCCCAGATAACATAAACGCATGTGATAAATCTCAATACATCACAGGTTTTTAGTCCCACATTTTTATTATCAGTGTTGTAATGATCAATCAAGGAATGCCTGCTACAAAGAATTACATGGGGTGGAAACAATCCAGAGCAGCTTACCAGCAAACTTTTTTACATAGCTACTATGGCTATTCAACTATCCGAAAGTTATACTCAAAATGGTTTTCAAATAGATATTTTGAAAACTATATAAGAAAGTAGCTTTATGTGCTGGTTTGTAAAAAAGGGAAAAGTAAAGAGTAGGAAGACTGGGAACAGCAGAGGTGAGGAAAATGGTTCCAATCTCAAATAGGTCAGGGCAGGCCTCATGGAGAAGGTAGCATTTAACAAAGACCTGAGGAGAGGAGAGAGTGAGCCAAATACATAACCTGGGAAGAGCTTTCCAGACAGAGGGAGACACCAGGGCAAGAAAAGTACTTGATTTGTTTAAAGAATAGAAGGAGCCCATGGTGCCAAGGGAACAGCAAAAATCTCTGCTGCTGTGGTCAGAAAGCTTTTGAAATTTCATCTTCCAGTTGACACTTCATTTTCTATCACTTACCTGTTTAAAATGAAAGTCATAATACCTTTAGTATAATCTTACTAGAGTCTCATAGTTGTCAAAAATACAGTCAAGGTTCTTCTGAGAATTTTAAAATCACCCCAAAACCACAATCTCTGGCTGGTATGCAATTTCACTCTCAGTCTCTACAAACATATATTTGCAAATAAGCCACTATGTGACAAGCAAATATGCCATCTAATAAGAGATGATGTCATTATAAAGAAATCAAGTGAAAGATCTTTAGTTTCACAATTTGTCAGTTAGGCACAAAGCATTTGTTATGTCCCAACAAAGAGAGATTGCAAGATTCATAGCTAACATGAAAGCACCCTTTCTTTCTGAAATGTCACTGTTCTTTTGGCATTTATTACATTGTTCGTTTCATTAACTTTATTCCAGAAAATGAAACAATCATAATTACTGTACAATTTTCATGCATTTATCTGGATTAATACCTCCAAAAAGAATATGTACATAAAAGTAGTCCCTTTTTTGAGAAGAGGGTCAGTCAGCCCTTTCCCAAGTGAGCATCTTATTCCTGCCTAGTGTCTTCCACGAAAATGCCCTGTGATCCCCAGACTTTACCAATGTAACATAAATTGTGTGCAATCATACCTTGCCCAGCTGATCCTTTTTGCCAAAGCCAGTGGCAGCTGCAATGCTCCCTGCTCCCTCCACCGTCTTCTGTGCTACTGCTGTCACCCCCGTCACCACCGCCTCACCCACATTTGTCACTTGCTCTTTGGTCTTCTCAGCCACTGGGATAAATCCAGAACAATAGATTAAGGGACAATTGAACAACAGGGACTGAAAATAATTTTATTTCCACTAGCTGTCAACTTCTAAAGACCTGTATTTGCACATACTATAAATAACTGAAGTGTCAGAAGAAATAAAAGCCTCAGAGATATTTGAGTGTGGTTTAGACAACATTAAATCTTTGCTAAGATATGTTGCTGTAATCATGCAGATATTAAAACATGTTTCAAGTGTAATGATCACAAATAAAACCTTTCAGCAACGGAAGTTTGGTTAACATTTTATTAAGGAAAATTTGGAAAAGGCAATGATTATAGATGCAGCTATTGTGGTATCATGTGGTATCGGATATATATTTCTTTATTTCATTTTCGATATCATTCTTTAATCTCACCTGGCCTGTTTATTTTCACCATGCCTTCTAAGTCAGACAACACATAGGTGTTCCTATTACCATCAGAAATGAAAAATACAGATGACATGATACAATACAAAAAAACCTGAAGACTCCACCAAAAAACTACTAGAACTGATAAACAAATTCAAATAAGTTACAGGATACAAAATCAATCTACAGAAACCTGTTGCATTTCTATACACCAATAATGAAGCAGCAGAGAGAGAAATGAAGAAAACAATCTCATTTACAATTGCACCAAAAATAATAAGCTCTGTAGTAATAAATTTAACTAAAGAGGTTGAAGACCTGTATTCTGAAAACCATAAAACACTGATGAAAGAAACTGAAGACAACATGAAGAAATGGAAAGATATTCCATGCTTATGGCCTGAAAAAAAAATATTGTTAAAATGTCTATACTATCCAAAACAATCTCCACATTTGATGCAGTCCCTTCAAAATATCAACATCAGTTTTCACAGAACTACAGCAAGCAATTCTAAAATATGAAAGAGACTTCAAATAGCCAGAGCAACCTTGAAAAAGAAAAAGCAAAGCTGGAGGCATCACAATCCCGGACTTCAAGTTCTATTACAAAGCCATAGCGATTAAAACGATATGGTACTGTCACAATAACAGACACATAGATCAGAAGAACAGAATAGAAAGCCCAGAAACTAACCCACAGCTACATGGTCAGTTGATCTTTGACAAAGCAGGAAAGAATGTCCAATGGAAAAAGGACAGTCTCTTCAACAAATGGTGTTGGGAAAACTGGACAACAGCATGCAAAAGAATGATACTAGACAACGTTCTTACATCATACACAAAAACAAAGTCAAAATGGATTAAAAACCTAAATGTGAGACCTGAAACCGTAAAAATCCTAGAAGAGAACACAGGCACTAATTTCTTTGACGTTGGCCATAGCAACTTTATTCTAGATTTGTCTCCCAAGGCAAGAGAAATAAAAGCAAAACTAAACTAGTAGGACTAGATCAAATTAAAAAGCTTCTGTACAGCAAAGGAAACAATCAACAAAACTAAAACCTATGGAATGAGAGAAGATATTTGCAAATGACCTATACGATGAAGGGTATGTATCAAAAAATATATAGAACTTATAGACCTTAACACCCAAAAACCAAATAATACAATTGAAACATGTGCGGAAGACATGAACAGCCATTTCACCAAAGAAGACTTCCAAAGTGCAACAGACATGTGAAAAGATGTTCATCATCACTTACCATTAGGGAAATGCAAATCAAAGTTACAATGAGATATCACCTCACACCTGTCAAATTGGCTAAAATCAACAACATAAGAAACAAGTGTTGGTGAAGATATGGAGTAAAAGGAACTGCAAATTGGTGCAGACACTGTGGAAAACAGTATGAAGTTCCCTCAGAAAGTTAAAAATAGAACTACCCTATGATCCAGCAATCACACTACTGAGTATTTACCTAAAAATACAAAAACACTAATTCAGAGGGATACAGGCACCTGATGCTTACAGTAGCACTATTTACAATAGCCAAAAAATGGAAACAGCCCAAATGTTCACTGATTGATGAATGGAAGAAGCAGATATAATTAATATAGGTACATATATAATGGAATATTATTCAACCATAAAAAAGAATGGAATCTTGTCATTTACAACATGAAAGGAGCTAGAGAGTATAATGCTAAGTGAAGTAAGTCAGAGAAAGAAAATTTATGATATCATTCATATGTGGAATTTATGGGTTTTTTTCATATGTAGAATTTGAGAAACAAATGAGCAAAGGGAAAGAAAGGAGAGAGAAGGACAAATGAAGAAACAGACTCTTAATTATAGAGAAGAAACTAATAGTAATTGGAGGCAACCGGGGACGGGGAGGCGGGTTCGATAGGTGATGGGGATTAAGGAGTGCCCCTGTGGTAAGCACCAGGTCCTGCATGGAATTATTGAATCACTATATTGTATACCTGACACTAATATAACATTGTATGTTCACTGACTGGAATTAAAATAAAAAATGTAAAAAGCCAAAAAAATGAACAATAGAGTAAGGGATGGTTATGAAGATTTTGATCCTTTTATCAAATGTCAAGTGGTTGAAAAACAGTTTTTAATAAAAAGGTTGATTTTCAACAATTTTAATGGTAACAAAAGAGCTAGGCATTAAGTATGAAAATGAAGTTTGCTGAGCCAACTTAATAATTTCTTTTCACAAAACAAACTACAGTACAGTGATTCAGTAGATTTTTTTAATAAGTTAAAAATTTAGAGAAGTCAGTGTAAATAGTTTGGGATTAGATTTAGAAGCAGGTCTACTCTCATATCAAAAATTCTCCAAGACTAGATCTGATATAATTGCTGAATTAATCTTTTTCTATTACCTCGATGCAATTGCCAAATAAAGGAAACTCCAATTTAAAAAATTTGCTTCAACTAAATGAAGAATTCTATGAAAAAAACAAAGACGAGAGCTTCTGCTCTTTTAATAATCTCAAGGTCAATAGAGAAATAAAACTAAACTGCTCTTCACCTAAATCTTGCAACATTAATATTCATAAAGCCTACATCTTACATCTCATGCCCATCTATGTAATGCTAGCCTTCTTCCCTTTTTGCCTCACAAACTCTTTTTTTTTGCTTTTTTCCCCAGATTTCAGGAATTTAGGGTTTTGAGTGATAATTTTCCTCAGGCCCTGTCCTAAGCAAATAGAAACTTTTTTTTTTTTAATTTGGTTATGCTTTGTGCTTGTGTACATCGTCTCCAGATAGTCTCGAGCCCAGGGAATTGGATGGGCTGCACTGTCAGCTGTTAGGTTGGCAAATGTTCTTAACTAGTCACATGATTATTGTACAGACTGCACGTCACCCACTGCAGAAGGCTAGGGATTGAATAATGTGGACAAAGCAGCTGGATTTCGATAGCAGGTCACGGAAGTAAGGTGGTCGATAAGGACAGATGCTACTCTTCAGTTCTGGGCAATGTGGGGAAGGTGAAAGTGATCCTAGAGTCTGAAATCAGGGAGTCCCCAGAAGGTGTTGCTTGATATTTGCCTTTCACCACTTTGGGGATCCAGTGGATGCCTCCTAACAAGTAATGGCTATTCCCAATGCAAAGTTCCATTTAAATGCCAGTGAAGAGCTATCCTGGAGATTTCGTGTTTTTAAACATTTCCAGAATGTTGATCCTTTAAAAATAGTGAATTGTGGGCTTTAACTTGTCATCTTTTTTTCCTTTTCCAAGAACATGAATAAAAAATTTTGCTTGAAAAATGAACAATTTTCTTATAATATCTCAAACAAGAATAAATTTTGATCTTAAAAAAAAAGAATAAATTTTGATCTTCTCACAGATTCATGACTTTTGTACCAGCCACAAAATGTTATATTTATAATATCTAGACCATTCTTTGTATATGTATACCCATTAATTTATTTTTAATGCACATGAACATAACAGTAAAATGCACTTTATACTTTATCATAATTTCATCAGGTAAGAGTAAGTAAATTAGTTACATTACAAAACAACAGAGTGTACATGTAGCAATGATAGACACATTTTAAAAGATTCCTATAGAACTTGTTTACCTAGTGAATTATCCAGTAACCTTGAGTCCCTATGTCCCCCCGTTAAGCCCTTTTACACTACTTCTCCATTCATTGACATGGCTAACAAAAGGGTGACAAGGCAAAAGCAAATAAGACACAAATTGTCTTATTTAAATTCAACATTTTTCATCTAATAAATGATATTTGTTTTTAAGGGAAATGACCTCATAACCAAGATCAAAAGGGATACTTTCCTCCCAGCTAATCATAGTATAATATTTTACGATCTCCCCCAAATATGTCAGTCTTTGTCAATTTTGTTCATACAGTTCTGTCTGGCCAGAAGCTTTGATCCTTCTCAGATATCTCCCTATCTGTTTACTCAGCAAATTCGAGTTGCTATTAAAACCCACCTCAAATGTCAAATTCCAAATTAAAAACCTTTCCTCCCAACAACTGTTCCTCTTCATGTGATCTCATGAAATTTTAGATATATCTCTGCTATGGAACATTTTAAAAAATTATTTTATATTTTTTTATTAACATAATGTATTATTTGCCACAGGGGTACAGGTCTTCTGCTATGGAACTTTTTACATTGTGCCAGAATTATTCATTTCCCAGTGTGACTGTCCACCCCCACCAGCCTCTTTGGAGTTCATTAAGAACAGAGATCTTGTTTATATTTTTATATTTTATCTTTATATTATTATTATTTATTGAATGCATTAAAAGGAATTTTGTATATTCTGTAAGTTATTCATTAATTTTGATAATTAGATTTACTTCGGCTTTAAGTCAAATATGAAATTTCAGAAAGAAAATGTGGCACCAACTTCTCAAATAGATTCAGTAAATGAAACCTTTGATATTAAACACAATCATAAAATTAAGATCTAGCTTTGAACTGTACAAATTAGGTATCTAAGGAAAATGAATTTGTATTTTTGAAACATTTTGATAAATTATAACATGTTGAAATTAGTTGTGTTCATTACCATGTGACAAATTTCTGTTTATAAATCAAAACTCAGAATAGAGTAATAGAAAATTCTTTATACCATACTTTCATGAGGAAAAAAAAATTAAGTAAGCTTTTATCAACATCTATTTTTTTAAAGAGGTTTCAAAGACATGTCATTCAGTATATCCAGATTAAATGCACTCTCATGTTTTTCTATAACATAATGCATTAAGTTGACAACTGCAACAAAAATGAACTGAGATCAAATAGCTAGGGTGTAAGGTAGAGATTTTTAGATTTTATCTGGAGATTATCTACTGGGAGAAATTCTTTTTCTTAGAATTTTTTAGATAGAAAACTCCTGGTCTAAGTTTACTGAAGTCTATATTTCTGAAAAATAAACAATAGGATAAACCTTGAGGAAAGTTTTCTTTTGACATTAGATGATAATATTTTATACTGTATAATAGTTTCTCACTTCCCTGCCTTAAGAATAATTATAATAATAACATTTAATTAGCACTTACATTATGTAGCCATAATGAACATTTTAGACCAAGTATAACAACCAATTCTTTTCCTTAACCATGGAGGTAATTATCTTTTTTTTTTTTTTAAGATTTTATTTATTTATTTGACAGATCACAAGTAGGCAGAGAGGCAGGCAGAGAGAGAGAGGAGGAAGCAGGCTCCCCGCCGAGCAGAGAGCCCGATGCGGGGCTCGATCCCAAGTCCCCGGGATCATGACCTGAGCCGAAGGCAGAGGCCTTAACCCACTGAGCCACCCAGGCGTCCCCTGGAGGTAATTATCTTAAACTTATTTATCCTTATACTTGAAATTTGGAATTTTATATTAAATAATTATTAAATAATTAATAATACCGTCCAGAAGGATGATATATATTGCAGATTTATCCCATGGCATTTCTCATAGTCAGGCTACTTATGACATTTTTGATACTTTGTTATTGCCAGGGTAGTTGATTGGTACAATGGCTATAAATACCACCTACATCAAAATCATCATGGCCTTGCTGCTTAGCAGCATTTTCCATAGTGTTCTCTGGAACACTGGTTTCACTCAATCCTAATGACTACTGAAATAAGGTCAACAAGTTTGAGAAACCCCGGATTAAACTAAATTATGAACATTTCTTTGCTATGGAATATCTCAGATTCTTCAATATGCTGAAGACATGATATGCAAAGTTTCTCAATATTATTAAACCAGGGAAACATAAGGTGATAGGATACTGTCCTTCAGAAAACAAAATGCTACCTTATTGTACAAACTTCAGTAGTGAACACACACACTCACACACACACGCACACACAAACTCATATTCACCTTCTGTCATTGCGGAGAGGATGAAAACTCTGACTTTGTTAACAGTTATCCTTGCAGCCCATCTCCATAGCCTCCATTCAAAGATGTTATTAGTTGTAGTCTTTAATTTTTTACCACAGACTCTAAATCTGGCCACAAGCTTATCCACTTTCTAAACCACATGGATTCTTCAACTACCAAATGGAACACCATTAATCTAGCTAGGCTCTAGATAGTATAATCTCCAACAGTCTGTTATCCAGATCTTATTCAAATCATGTTTAATAACACCATATTTATAGACCGTCCCTAAAAGTCAACCCAGTTCCTTTACTTGCCTTGTTCTGGGCATTACATATTGATTGGATTGCAACAGAGCAAATACAAACAGCATCCTTTAATTTAGCTTCTAGCAGAATCAGTTTCAAAGGGTTCTATTTTCATTTTGCACCCTCACTTATTATCAAAAGAATATATAAAACAGTTGTATGAAATATTTTTCTCCACTAGTTGTAAAAATGTTGTTCAAAATAGACTCACTATAGAGTGATGATAAATAACACCTGCATAATACACACTACTTAATTTCATTATTCTGGGTATTTGTGTACATCAATCCTACTTATTCTTTCACAAATGAGGAAACTAAATCACAAAAAGATTATGAATCCTGCAGAAAATCACATAGCTCATAAGTGATAAGCAGAAATTTGGACCAAGGAAGTCTGGCTCCATTGTTTTGGTCTCAACCACAAAACTGTATTAATACTCCCATTTGATTTTCTCCATTTTCATTTTATAATTCAGTAATAGGAAGACAGTATTTTTCTGAGACACTATTACATTTACTGCTATCTGATCACATGAATTATATTTCTGATTATACATCCTGTTTTACCCCATCTGTCAGGCAGCTTGGAATGCATACAACATGAAACTGAATCACGGCAAGTCTGTGGGCTCTCAAGATTATTAAATTTTAGTTCTCCTTTCATTTTTCTATCTGTCCCTATCATATCCCTCCTCCTCATCACCACCACCATCATTTTCAACATTTTTTATATTAATTTATTGCAGTCTTCTTAAAGACCTATTCAAGTTCTTATTAAAATTATGCCAAATAGATATAAATACAATAAATACTTCACTGATCATTCCAAGGTTGTTTCCTAAAATGTTTTCTGAATCATCAAGGAAATGTTATACTGAGTAGAGTTTAATGTCAGAATGTTTTATTATAAATCTACAGAAAATTTGACATTAATCCTTTGAAAACTGGCAATTTTTATATGAAATTTATGGTAGAAGTTTGCCAAAACTTAATGTTTCAGAAATTTAAATGTGATACTGCCATAAATTAAATGTATCTGGTCAATTCAGAGGGCATCAATCTTGATAATGGAATATACTGTTTTATTTATCTATAATAAATATTTACTTATTTAAAAATATTTAATAAAGAATTAAAGTTAAACAAAGCTGATGTTACCTTAGAATATTTCTCTGTGAATGCAGTGGCTGTTTACAGTTACATTCTGAATGATTAATGCTTACTAGATATTTTCAGTATCATTCTTGGATATGGGCCCCATGGAGCTTACCTGTTGTCACACCATGAACCACTCCTTCCTTGGTTTTGGAGCCTATAAAAAGAAATTTGAAACATAAACATAAGTCTTAAACTGGTCTTTATTGCTAGTTACCTAGTTTTAAATACAACTAATAAAAAAACTCTCAACTTTAGAAGCCCAAATAGAAAAATATCCTTAGGGGATAAAAAAACCTAAAACAAGGAATTCCTGTAATTACACAACAAATAGAAGAAAGCAAAACTAGCAGCAGTTTCTTTCCTATTAAAATTTTAATTCAGGGGCACCTGGGTGGCTCAGTCGGTTAGGCATCTGCCTTCAGCTCAGGTCATGATCCCAGGGTCCTGGGATCGCGTTCTACATCGGGCTCCTTACTCAGTAGGGAGCTTGCCGAAGCCCTCTCCCTCTGCCTGCTGCTCCCCCAGCTTGTGTGTACTCTCTCTCTCTCTCTGTGTGTCAAATAAATAAATAAAATATTTTACAAAAAAAATAAATAAAATGTTAACTCATAATCATGACTTATTTTTTTTTTTTAAAGAGAGAATCTTAAGCAGGCTCCATGCACAGCACAGAGCCTGATGTGGGGCTCAATCTCATGACTCTGAGATCATGAGCTGAGCCAAAATCAAGAATCAGATGCTTAATTAACTGAGCTACCCAGGCACCTCTACACAAGTTTTTTAATTAAATTTTTAATTGGAGAAAATAATAGTGGATTGGAGATTCATTTGAAAACTACCCTGCAAGTCAAATAATCTATTTCTATCAGACATAGAAGAATCTAAGGAAATGAGGGCATAAAAACTGAGAAATTATTTAAAACTATACTTGGAGATTAAACAAGGTACTAATCCTCAGCTTAAAAAATGCGCTGTTTTAAAAAGCCTTCCTAGGCATGTTAGAAATAACAATAAACACTTTAAAACAAAGGAAAAAAGCATAAGGGAATCTCAGGTTCCCCATCACTAAAATGACTATATAAGATTAATTAAATAATCTCTAAGAATCGGGTCCTTAAACTGGAAAGTGCAGCAGAATCAGTCAGGTAGAGCACTGGTTGAAAATGCTGACTGTTGTGTCAGAGCCTCAAATATTCAGGAAATATCAGGTACAGATATTTGAATTTTCTAATAACCCTCATGATCTAATTCTAATGATTCATGGATCAAATCTGTAAAACACTGGTCTTAGGCAAGCTTCAATTTCCAAATTTATTTAAAATTTAGAGACACATATCCATGATTTCAATATGATCAATAAAATGACCTAAATGAATATACAAGACCACGTTGAATATGTTCACTAAATATTTTTATGAAAATATATAAATGTCATTAAGTGAAATTTGGATGCATTGTATTTAAATTTACATTTTACTAAACAGTCAAGGAAAAGTATCTATGTTTAATAAAACAATTTAAATACAGTTAAGAAGTTTTCATTTGAATATATTTAAAGACCTCTGATAAAAATAAAACATACAATAAACTATAGCACTGTAGTTAAGAATATGGGTTTTGCCCAGAAATAAATCCATACTCACATGGTCAATTAACCTAAAATGAAGGCGGCATGAATATACAATGGGGAAGACAGTCTCTTCAATAAGTGGTGATGAGAAAACTGCACAGATACATGCAAAAGAGTGAAACTGAAATACTTTCTTATACTACACACAAAAGCTAACTCAAACTGGTAAAGACTTAAGTGTCAGACCTGAAGTCATAAAACTCCTGAAAGAAAACACAGGCAGTAATATCTTGGACGTTGACCTTAGCAACATATTTATGCACATGTCTCCTGAGGTAAGGGAAGTAAAAGTAAAAATAAACTATTGGGACTACACCAAAATAAAAAGCTTTTTCACAGCAAAGGAAGCCATCAACAAAATTAAAGACAACTTAGTGAATAGGAGAAGATATTTGCAAATAAGATATTTGATAAGGGGCTAATATCCAAAACATATAAAGAACTTACACAACTCAACACCAAAACCAACAAATAATCCAATTTAAAAACAGGCAGAGAACCTAAATAGTCATTTTTCCGAAGAAGATAGACAGTCAACAGACACACGAGAAGATACTCAATATTACTAACCATCACATAAGTGCAAATCAAAACCACCATGAAATATAACCTCACATCAGTCAAATGAGTATTTGATACTCATACTTTTTGTGAGTATCAAAAAGGAATAAGTGTTGGTGAGAATGTGGAGAAAAGGCAACCCTTATGTACTATTGGTGGGAATGTAAAATGATGTAACTCCTTTGGAAAATAGTATGGAGGTCCTTCAGAAAATTAAAAATAGAAATGCCATATGATCCAGTAATTCTACTATTGATTATTTATCTGAAGAAAATGAAAACACCTAATTCAAAAAGACACACACATCCTTCTGTTTATTGTAGCATTATTTACAATAGCCAAGATATGAAAGCAACATAAATGTCCAATGACAGATGACCTGATGAAGAAAATATGGGTAGTGTTTGTGTTACACACACACACTATGGAATATTACTCAGCCATAAAAAAGAATGAGATCTTGCCTTTTACAGCAACATGGATAGACAATAGAGAGTATTATGTTAACTGAAATAAGTCAGATGGAAAAAGATAAGTATCATATTATTTCACTTATATGTGGAATCTAAAAAACAAGACAAAGTAAACAAAACAACAACAACAACAACAAACCCAGAAATATAAAAACAGAAAACTGATGGGGCACTTGGGTGGCTCAGTGGGTTAAGCCTCTGCCTTTGGCTCAGGTTATGATCTCAGGGTTCTGGAATTGAGCTGAGCAGGGAGCCTGCTTCCCCCTCTCCCTCTGCTGTTTCCCCTGTATGTGCTCTCTCTCTGTCAAATAAATGAATTCTTAAAAAAAAAAAAAAAACAGAGAACTGATGGTTGCCAGGGGGGAGGTGGGTGAGGGATGGGTGAAATAGGTGAAAGTGATTAAGAAATACAATCTTCCAATTATAAGATAAACAAGTCACAGAGATGAAAAGTACAGCATAGAGATAATACTCAATAATATTGTAATAACATTATTTTTCTAAGATTTTATTTGAGAGGGAGAGTGCACACAGGTGGGGAAAGGACAGAGGGAGAGGGAGAAGCAGGCTCCCCACGGAGCAGGAAGCCAGAAATGGGGCTGATCCCAGTACCCTGGGATCATGACCTGAGCTGAAGGCAGACCCTTAACCAACTGAGCCAACCAGGCACCCCTATATGGTAGCAGATGGTTACTTCACTTACCATTGTGAGCACTGAGTAATGTATAGAATTGTCAAATCACTATTACAATTGAGGCTAATATAATATTGTATGTTAAATTTATTTCAACAATAGAAATTAAAATAAAATTTTAAAATGTAGTTTCTGGATTCAGATTTCCACAATTTAAATCTTTACTTTACCACATAATAATCAAATACACATCGTTCAGTCAACATGAAAAATCAAAGGAAATAATACACATAAATATTTTAAAACAGTGTTTAGTATATACCGTAAAGTAAGAAATAATTACACTTTACATGTAATATTTGTAAAGGGATTTGCAGTTTAAAACAGAACAAATCGTTAATCATAAGTTTATATAAATGAAATTGTGCAGTTACTAAATATATAAAAGGATATAGAATAGCAGTTTACATATATAATATGATGTGTCAATGTGTTCATGTGTATTTATGCATACTTTGCAGTCAAGGGTCACTTTGCATAGTACTATGGAATCGTAAAGTGACCATACAAAAGCTGAGTTGTCTGTAGAAAGTGGCCTTAAATATCAATGAAAAAAATGACAATTAATTAGTTGTAAAAGTTACAATTGTCCCATGACCTTTAAATTTTTTGTCAAAACATTAAAAATTCTCTTATCATTTATAAATTTATAGGGAAATGAAAAATTAGCAATATTAATATTTCCTTTGCATATCATAATTTAAGACCTTGAGACTTAAAGTGTTTTATTTCTTTGTAAAAACTTATCAAGATTAGTTTAAACAGTGCTGTTTTCTTCTCATTATATAACTTCATATTTGGCATGAGCATCTTTTCTAAGTCTTAGAGAATTGTCATACCCTTGTAAGTTTGGATCAGTTTCCAAAACGTTACCCTTTGCATTTTTATCATGCTAGATCTCTAATAGTTCCTCAATGTGCGTTACTTCTGCAGCAGCACTTCCTCTGAAACATCTTCAACTTATTCATCACAACTTTTTTTCATCTGCTTACTTCAGCTTGAGTAAGTTCCTCTGGCTACATTATCTAGAGTCTCCTGAACAGTAGCAGTGTTACCATTCCCAAAGTCAGCTATTTGTCGTATAAATAAAACATCCTTTCATTCAAATTTTACTTCCAGCATTTTCATGTCATTTCTTTCCTGCACTTTCATCTTTTTTGGCCAATTTCCTTTTTAAATTATGCATTTTTGTAAAATATCATATGGGTTTATTTTGGGGAGACAAGAAAGCATCATAACCATGGGATTTGCCGTGTGTGTAAGCTAAATAGCAGATGTGCAATGATCAATCACTGACAAACTTGGAAAAAATGATATAATTTGATCCTGGATTATAATGAGTTTCTGTTATTTATGTAGCAATGTGTGGGCTGAAGAGCTAGGAGCAAAGGTTGTACTTTATGTAATCACAGTTTATGTACTATAGTAACAAATTTGAACTGTGTTGTGAGGGACTGGTATCATTCAACTAACTGTCTTAACTGAAATTCTTCTATCCTGGAAATATGCAAGGTGAGAACAGCTTGTATATAAGGGAATGCTACTTATTAGTACCCCTCTACCACTCCGTGTACTCCATATTTTTAAAATGACTATTTGAAAGACATGTTTATCAGTTGGTCAATGGTCTTTCCTCTCTGCCTGAGCAATGCCTGAGAATTGGACATTGGTCTAAATCATGGAATGTATCCTGATTCAAGGATAAATGAGGGTTTTAATGAAGTTGCTTCATATCAAACCAATCACCTGTTATTTGCTGTCAGTTGTTCATTAGTATCTATAATTAGTAATCAACA